GTGTTCACGGTAAACGCTGCATATGTCAGCTCAATCAGAAATTACCTTTACATTACTATAGTGCAATCTGTAACAACTCAGCGATACAGATTTGAATAGAGCCCTTAATCAGTTAAATAAGGTGTGTTACTGCTTTAGTTGGAGCTAAAGCCTGAACCCACAACACAACAGCCCTTTGGGGTAAGATCGCTCAGCCCTGTTCTCTTACATGTCCAATAGGTGGCAGTGTGTACCCTTCTAAATGACATGGGTGCCTGCTGTAAACTCCTATAAGATGTTGTTATCCAGGGAGCAGCAGTAAGGAGGGAGGAGGGAGGAGGGAGGTAGGGAGGGAGGGAGGGAGGGAGGGAGGGAGGAGGGAAAGGGAGGGAGGGGGAGGGAGGGAGGGAGGGAGGGAGTGGAGGGAGGGAGGGAGAGAGGGAGAGAGGGAGGGAGGGGCTGTTGTCAGTATCTTATTGTCAAAGATAGAAAATGGTAAACAAATAAGTCTTTAGCTCTGCTTCTAGAATATGTTAAAGTGACATCGATGATGTACACCCTGATCACACCCTAATAACATCCTGATCACTCCCTTATCATAAAGCGCATTTAGGATGCGAGAACCATACGCATGTAGGATGCTAGAACCATACACATTTAGGATACTAGAACCATACACATTTAAGATGCTAGAACCATACACATTTAAGACGCTAGAACCATACACATTTAAGATGCTAGAACCATACACATTTAAGATGCTAGAACCATACACATTCAGGATGCTAGAACCATACACATTTAGGATACTAGAACCATAGAAATGTAGGGTGCTAGAACCATACACATTTGGGATACTAGAACCATTCACATTTAGAAAGCTAGAACCATACACATTTAAGACGCTAGAACCATACACATTTAAGACGCTAGAACCATACACATTTAGGATGCTAGAACCATACACATTTAGGATGCTAGAACCATATACATTTAGGATGCTAGAACCATACACATTTAAGACTCTAGAACCATACACATTTAGGATGCTAGAACCATACACATTCATCAGCAGGCTAGGAGCGTTGCTCCCTCCCCTCTCCCTCCTGTCCCTCCCCTCTCCCTCCTGTCCCTCCCCTCTCCCTCCTGTCGCTCCCCTCCCTCCCCTCTCTCTCCCCTCTCTCTCCCTCCCCTCTCCCTCCTGTCCCTCCCCTCCCTCCCCTCTCTCTCCCCTCTCTCTCTCCCTCCCCTCTCCCTCCTGTCCCTCCCCTCTCCCTCCTGTCCCTCCCTCCCCTCCCTCCCCTCTCTCTCCCCTCTCTCCCCTCCCTCCCCTCTCCCTCCTGTCCCTCCCCTCCTTCCCCTCTCTCTACCCCTCTCTCTCCCTCCCCTCTCCCTCCTGTCCCTCCCCCTCCCTCCCCTCTCTCTCCCCTCTCTCTCTCCCTCCCCTCTCCCTCCTGTCCCTCCCCTCTCCCTCCTGTCCCTCCCTCCCCTCCCTCCCCTCTCTCTCCCCTCTCTCTCCCTCCCCTCTCCCTCCTGTCCCTCCCCTCTCTCTCCCCTCTCTCTCCCTCCCCTCTCCCTCCTGTCCCTCCCCTCCCTCCCCTCTCCCTCCCCTCTCCCTCCTCCAAACAACATGGAAACAACAGTTTTTAAAAACTCAATCACCCAGTTGATGTGTTAAAAATATTTTCCCCTCTCTCTTGCTCTCTCCCTCTCTCTTGCTCTCTTTCCCCCTACAAATCTGCTTATTGTATTACAGGTCATAATTCAAAAAATGTCATGAAGTCACAAAATAATTAGAAAATTCCAAGAATCAGAATGATTGTACTTATCGTCAGTGCTCGGAATCTACTACCCCCCCCCCCCCCCCCCCCCCCCCCTCTCGATCCCCCTTGCTCTCATCTTCAGTATCAGATTCTAATTTTTATGGATTTTCTGCCAGCTCTATCAGCTCTGACCCGTAACTCTGACATATATAATGTTCTTAATATCCAGATTACATTTTCTTTAATCTCTTCCACAACATGTGAAAATTATTTCTGCAATCAACTACAAAGTCCCTGTCCTGTCCCTGATTGGGCTTTGGTTTCTAAAAAACACACTAGCCGTACTATGCAGATGTTCCTCTGTTTCCTGTCTCCTCACCCCTTCTCTCCCCCTCCCTTACTGTAATCAGTAGGCCATCTATGCGGGATATGGTTGTATGAATGTTCTATAGGTGCCCTCTGCTAAAGTGATGCTCTGTAGCCCACTTCTACTTGAACATCAAATCAAGGACAAGGTGTTTGTGTGTGAATGCATGTGAGTGTGTGAGTGTGTGAGTGTGTGTGTGTGAGTGTGTGTGTGTATTAGAGGATATGCGTGTGTGTCCTGATCAATTAGTCCAGACAGAGCATCCTCTTTAAGTAGAGTGATGAGCGCAAGACTCTGATGTTGAACAGGGTAAAAAAAGTGGGTTAC